TCCTAATTTCTCTTCCAAATGTATAAATCCATTGCATTTTAACTGGATTTTTATCCAAGAATTTCCCAGTGAAGTGTGTTTGTTTTAGCATTAGAGTTGTCTATAAAAGACATCTCAACCCAGCCAGGCTCTGCTGAATATGGGTTAGCAGTATTTGGAGGGTGAAAAATTCCCTACAATAAATTCAAAATGGTATTTATGTGCCTAATTCTCTTGAATATATATATATTTTACATGCCCCAAATCATGGCATTCTCTATTCCAGACCATGACATTTCTTGCAATTAAGATAATTATTGTAAAGATTTGCTAGCTGTTTAGGAGAAATTACTAAGATGTTTCTTCTGCAGAATCTTGCTGACTTTATTTCAAAATTATAAGCAGGGTCATAGTTAGCTAGTAGTAATGTAGTAGACCATTAAGAGATACCAGAGACAATGGAGGTTACACTGAGGCATCAGACCAACCTCTGAGGAAAAGGAAATAGTAAAACCATTTTGCCTAGTTGCCAAGAAGACCACATGAGATGTTTTCAAGTAGTTCCTGGAAGCTGAGCATGAGGATAAGGAAACATTATGTATATTACATTGTCTTACATGTATTATAATTTTTTTTAAGTACAAGAGAAATCAATATAGTATCACACCATCATACTTAATTATGTTTTTCAAGGGCACAATATTTAACAATTCTTGCCTGGAATAGTGAGTAAAAACTTGTTTTCTGTCTTCTTTACAGATGATCATATTAGGACCATCAAAGTTGCCTCTATAATTTCATCTGAGGAGTTTGCAGGCGCGTAAGTCTTCCAGAAAATTCTGCTATAAATTATTCGTTAGATTCTTGTTTTTGTCTTCAGAAAGGGGAATTTCTCTCCTGCTATAGTCCCTTTTTTCCAAAGGTTTGACATCTGTGACCTTGAAGTTCTCAAGGTCAGAACAAGAGGAAATTAGAATCCAAGCACCTCTCAGTGCTCTTCTATGTCCTCCGCATGCTTGTTCAATACGTCCCCAGTAGAAGAGAATATACGTAGCTCAGATTTTGAGCAGTGGAATCCTTTGGGCTGATTCTCTTACTGACCTGGGTAATGTAATGTCTGCAAGCAAACAGCCAAGTTAGGAGTGCACCAAGGACTTCACTGTTGAATGTGTTGCTATTTGCAAAACTATTTTCTTAATCACCTGTGCTTTTTTCCAGTCTCATAGCCTTGTACGCTCAAAGTGTACAGCTTGCCACACTTGAGGAGGTGAAAAAACTGAAAGAAGATACTAAAGCACTTCAGAAGAAATGTGCTGCTGATGAACATTCAGACCCAGAATGTACAAAGCCTTTGGTAAGTCTTTGGAAGCTACATTTGGGGTACATATAGGCATATTGAGTACCTAC